CCACTTAGGCTGCCACTTGGGCGACGTCCAAAGCAGTGCCACACACAGATCGAGCAAAAAGCGGTAAGCTCTAATTGTGAGAATGCAGTCCATCAGGATCAAAGGGTTTCCGGTATAGCTGTTGCGCCCTGCGTTTGGAAGCATCTCAGAAGCATCACTAACATAGAATCCACACACAGAGACTATCCAGGCAGTAGTGTTATTGCTGTAATAAAATTGAATTCGACGAATTTTATTATAGCATCAACTTCAGCGGAAAAAAAACGCAAGGAATGTTCCCTCCAACAAAAAATCCTCATTTTCTGACAATGCCAACAAACGATGTGTACCTCCCCCCATTTATGAAGCTGATGCTTAGGTAAAGCTGAAGGACCGAAGAGCTGATTCTTTTGCACATTTCGCATCCCCCTTCATTTACCTTACTTTAAAGAATACCACATGTATTCTCCAGGCCACCTAAATCGCATGCATTTTATCATTTAAATCACAATATAAAGCCGAACTGCACGAAAATGCTACATATCCTGCGTTCTACAACATCTAGCTTTCCATTCCAGGGATAATTCAAGTATTTTTTGTCCTAGAGATGCCTCAGGCATGCCTTTTACGCTAATTCCGGGAACTGCCATACATGCATTTCCACTCGCAAAGCAAAAATCTTTGTTTGTTTGCTTCCGAAGTTGTGTACGTTTCGAATCAAGGGTCTATCAGGGGGAATCGAAGAGGGTACCTGTCGATCGACTGATTGTGTAACTCCACCGATAACGGTTCTGAGTCGTGTTCGTCCATCAAGCGATGGGTTTCTGGATGTATCGTCTGGTGGTTCCAGTATATTATTAGGCAAGCAATCCCCGTCCATCAACATCTCCAGTGTCTGAAAGAGCACCAAATATGCCAATGTACAACTACAAAATTGCCGTAATTAACGTGCATGTATCAGCACATCGCAGTGCCCCCATTATCTCTCTAGTAATTCTCTCTGAAGAAAAAATCCCGCAAAAATTATCTGCGTGAACAACAATGCAAAAAAAATCGGACCAAAAATCCAATAAAAGTCAAAAACTCCGCCGCATTGGTCATCAGTGGAAAGCGGGGAGAACCGTGAAATATCCTGAATGGAACCAAAAAACCAACAGCAATCACCCGCTGGCAAGACTTTCGATGGCCCCCTCTTTCGAGGATTGCTCACAAGCAAACTGATGGCGGGTTTGACCCCTGGCATATGTCAGTACCAAAGCAGAGCCAAAGCTCAAAAAAACAATTGGCCAACGCATGGGCTGCCAGTGCGAAGATGCATTTTTTGCATAGTTGCCCTCAGTTTTTGTCGCTACCGCCAGCGGTTTTCCCGGCAAATGCTTCTAGCTAAAAGAATTGGGACTAGCCGCCAGGACTGTCAGAAAACATCCCTTTAACATTTCATCTTTCTAGCTTTCGTGGTTCTCGAGTTAGCAGTTTACCCGCAAAAAACTTTCATGAGCTCGTATACGGAAACCACACATACCCAGCGTCTGGGTTTGAGCTTATTGAAACCTACGTGGACAGGGAACATCCCCTTAAAATTACAATCTTCTAGTTTTTCAGGTTCCCGGGTTAGCAACTTCCCGGAAAAAACTTTGGCGGGCTCATACGACGCGGGTAAGTGCGCCCATTTGGAGGATTGGAGCCCGCATATGCATGTAGATTAAGTTCCCAAAGTTTCAGCTCTGCAGCTTTTACAGGTCTTAAGATGAAAAATCGGTAGAGACGCACAGACAGACAGACACACAGACACACACACACATACACACACTCCCACACACACACACACACACACACACACACACACAAACCCTTTATCAATATGCGTTTTCTGCATTGCACTGATGCAAAATACGCGTAAAAACTTCAATTTATACATGAAGGCATGAAATTTAATCACACAGATGATGCATCAGTACAGATCAAAATCATCTAAAACTGCTTAAGCAAGCCAAAAAAACAAAAGGCGAGTTAATCATCAAACCACTGGAAAGGACGCAATAACGTGAAGACAAGGGGTCAATTTCGGCCGAAGGCGCCAAATCGGCGTGCACCAGCAACTGGCGAGAGGCCATCCCCGGGTGTTGGGCACGCTAAAGGAGGCCATGTGGAGGAGGAGGAAGATCAGCTGTTAAGTAGCATTTATGCATGTGCTTTGTGCAAGAAGTTGCTTTTCCCATTGCTTTGCCGTCCACCTCGTCCTTCCTCCATCCCTCCTCCCCCGGCCCATCTTCCCCTGGTAACCTTTCATCTTGCTGAGCCATGCAATGCCTCAACATCGAGAGCTATGCCCCTTGTTCCCACCTCATCCAGGATGCCAGGGCACTGAGGGCCAAACTTAGCAGACGAAAGATCACAACACCCCCACCCCATTAGCCGCTGCTCGGGCCCACCATGTGTTTTCCAAGATTTGTTCTTGCAGGAGGTCAAAGAACAAAGCTAGGAGGGTAAGGATGAACGGGGGGGGGGGGGGGGGGGGGG